ACATAATTTGAGTGAATGTATATTTGAGTGAATGTATCTAAGTTTTTCCGTTTCCACTATTGATAGAAACATGTTACTATAGGCTGATGTACGATAAATTCATTTCTTTACCCATGACAAATTGCAGCATAAATATTATTTCTTGAAGTCTAGCCCAGTAAGGAATTTGACATAATTTGAGTGAATGTATATTTGAGTGAATGTATCTAAGTTTTTCCGTTTCCACTATTGATAGAAACATGTTACTATAGGCTGATGTACGATAAATTCATTTCTTTACCCATGACAAATTGCAGCATAAATATTATTTCTTGAAGTTTTAGAAGATCAAATTATCATTTTCTTCCTCCTCAATTATTTTAACTAACATACATATTTCTAAAGCAAGAGGACTTCATCTATCTTCTTTTCTTTATTTTGGGTGTCTTTTTAAGGCAGAATCTCCCTGTAGCCCCAGCTGGCCTGGAACTCACTATGTAGACCAGGCTGGTCTGACCTCAGAGAGATCCACCTGCCTGGCAAGGGCTTCATTGATCTTCTATTGACTCTTTTCACTTGGCCACAGCTGCTGCCTCTGCTTATTCCTCCCTTGAGAAATCCTTTCTCTACCCTCTGCCCTCCTTCCCTTTCCTGTGAAGAAGTTTCTGTCTCTGTCACTTTGATATTCCCTGATGCTATCTGCTCCAAGTTTAATCAAGTCATCTCCTTCATGTAGACCAAGTAAGCACAGCTATTCCTCCACTTGGGCTATGCAGTGGTGGAGTAGAAAGCACCACTCATTACCTGAGCAAGATCCACGCTTGGGTCCTCTTGTCTCACTGTCCCATGCAGAGGATAAGCTGAACAGACTGGCAGGCACAACAGCACAAGGGTGGCTAGATGATGCATCCTGACTGGTTTTACCTTAAAAAATATCCTTCTCTAGCTTCTGGCTTCTGTCTCTACCTTCTAGGGGCCACCCTTTTATAGGGAGATAGCATTTAGATCACCAATGGCATGATTCATGAGTGTGCTATTTTTAATCTGAATGACGACAAGCCCATTCACAAAAATTCACCATGAAAATGATATAGCTTATTCCTCATCCTACTAAACTTGAAAGTATGCTTATTCTCAGGAAGTGGTTTCTGTGTTTGTAAGGAGGAAAAGGAAGTAGTTGGACAATTCATGTTTGTTTATTTGCCGGTAGATTCTTAAAATGCCTGGAAAAATGCAGACTAGTTAGATATTTTGAAATTGGTGCATTTTTTTAAAGAAAATAATACACTTTAAGCTCAAATACAACCAGATAAGGAACAAGTACATTAATGGAAAGAGATTCCAAATATAACTGTGGGAGTTACTATCTAGGAACATGTAACAGCAGATATTCCATTTCTTGAGTCCTTGTGTGTAACAGCTATTACTGATTTACTGATGGATTTGCTGGCTCTGGGTGGGAGTATTGTGAGAAGGAAAACAGCATGGAGGATCGGTAGACACAGATGCTGCAGCAGAGAGAACCTTGGGTGTCTGCTAATTCTCCATTCCAAAATGATTTCTTTTTGAGAGAGAGGGGGTCTCACTGTGTAGCCCTGGTTGTCCTGGAACTCGCTATGTAGACCAGGCTGGTCTCACACTCAAAGATCTATCTGCCTGCCTCTGCCTCTGGAGTGCTGGGATTGAAGGTGTGCATCGCCACGCCTGACTCAAGACCATTGACATGATCATAGTATCTGTATCCCAAACACTTGCTAAATTGAAATCAATTAATTGCATATTAGACTAGAATGTTCATCCTATTTCCTTCCTCTTCTTTGGTTTTTAATCTTTTGGTCCCTTTTCCTTTCTCCCAAAGTACAAAGGAAGAACTAGATTGCCATTTATTTATAATGGAGAATGGCTTCAGATCCTTCTTTTCGGTCACTTTCTCTTGCCCACAAGTAGCATTTCCCTCTCCCCACACCCCGGTCAAGTAGAGTGATTTTCAAGCAGTAACACAGAAATCCTGCCTTGTTATGTCCAATTAGCTTCTTTAAAATGACTTATTTTCATTTATGTATATGTTCATGTATGCCGTGTGTGTAGGTAGGAAGGTCAGAAGAGGGCATTCTATCTCCTAGAGCTGGAGTTACAGGTGGTTGTGAACTTCCTGACAAGGATGCCGGGAATCCAAACTCAGGTTCTCTGGGGGGATCAGCAAAGGCCCTTAACCTTTGAAGCATCTGTTCAGCCCCTTTAGCTTCTTAATGTAAAGAGTACTGAAATGTTTGAATTACATTTTTCTTCCAGTAAAAGTAAAATCACCCTCCCATATCTGAAGAATGAAATTTCAAATTGATGGTTAAATTAGTGAGAGTAGGAATAGCCTTTCCCACACTATCTACCACCCTACTAGAGATAGACTCACAGATGAGACCTCCGTACACCAGGAGGCTCTGAGATGTTTGAGTCAGAGCCTGGGAGATGCTTGAATATGCACTAGTTCAGTGAAGCCAACTTGTGGCTTAGTGTAACTGCTCCATGCAGTAGAACGGACACCAGCTTGAAAATCAGAGGCAAAAGAGCCGAAGACAACCAGATTCAGACAACATCAGCTGGAGCAAGTATATGACTTTGCCACCCAGTTGTTTTTCATCTACAACAGTGGGATGCAGATAACCTCAGTCACAGTGTTACTTATTATGCATGCTTCATGAAGGGGAGCAAGTCTGCTTTCATTTTAATTCTAGCATCTTTAACAGATGGAGCTTTTGGCTGGCTAAATGAGGAACCTTGCCCCGAGGCATTCACTTGACATGTTCTGAGATGCCGCACACTCATTTGAGTCATGACTTTGTTGGTGTTGGTACATCCTGTTGATGGATCTTAATATGTAGTAATGAGAGTTATCATTATGACTGTAGTTGGCTGACCATCAAAGGACGTGCCTCACAGGAGTGCTTCTCATGTATAAACTTACCCTACTTTAAACTGCCATACCTGGAGGAGATTCATGACTTAGGGCTGTTTGTAATGACTTTGTACTGTTTATAATTTGTTACTTATTAAATGTACTGAATCTGTAAACGGTCAAGCAAGCAGGCATATGCAGCTCATTAAGGAAAGATGGAATCTCTTGACTAGAGCTTCTATAGCCTAGGCTCTAAATGTGTGTAATTAATTTCTAGTTGCTTTTTTATTTTCTTTGGTTTTTTTGAGACAGCGTCTCCCTGTAGCCCCAGCTGACCTGGAACTCACTATGTAGACCAGGCTGGCCTTGAACTCACAGAGATCTGCCTGCCTCTGCCTCCCAGCGCTGGGACTGAAGCTGAGTGCTACCGTGCCCAGCGCGTTGCCTTGTTTTCTGTTTGTTTGTTTGCTTGCTTGCTTGTTTGTCTTTTCAGAGCTGAGAGGACCAAACCCTGGGCCTTGCACTTGCTAGGCAAAATCCCCAGCCCTTCAAGGTGCATAATTTCTAATCAACAAGGTTGAGATTAGACTCAGAAAAACTAAGGAATAAATTTAAAGTCAGCTAGCTAACTGGTGAAAGAGATTGCTCAGAACTGCCTCCATAGTATCCAGCCACTACAAAGTGTACGGTTATCAAAAGATCTCTTAGGGAATGGGGAGATAGCTTAGTTGGTAGAGTGTGTCCCTTGCAAGGAAGAGAACCTGAGCTCCCACGTAAGAAAGAGGGGGGTAATGTGCCTGCAATCCAGGTACTGGGAGATTGGAGGCAGTCAAAGCTCTAGGGATCACTAGCCAACCAGTCCAGGCAAATCAGTGAGTTCCAGCCCAGTGAGAGACAGTCTCAAAAAGGTCAAGGTGGATGGCATCTGACAGATGAAAATGTTGTCTTCCTCCACAGGCAGGGACATATATGTGCACATGTATTCTGACATATAAATGTGCCTGAACACACATGTACATGTTCACATGAGGGACACACACACACACACACACACACACACACACACACACACATCTCTTGGCCTGGGCTTAAACTCTCTCCCAACATTTTAAAAAATATATATGTATTTTTAAAATTTGATTTTACTGAATTATTGTGCATTTCATATAGAATGTCTCAAACAATCTTAATCATCTTTATATCCCCGGCCCCACTGGCACCCTCTCATAGCCCTCCACTGGAACTCATATATTCTGTTATCTGTGTTAAGGCCCACTTTGTCAAATCAGTGTTCCCAGACCTTCCCCAGTGCTAGTCCATCCACTGAGGTCTAGTCAGCCTGTCTAGAGTCCCTTGTTTTAGGAAGCTCAACTCTTCTTCACCTAGTAGTAATCAGTTGCCAATATTTCTTCAGCTAATATTGGGGTCTGCTGTTCATTCTCCCAGTTCTATGCTGAGTTTTTGTCAATATATATTTTTATTGAATTTTGTATATTTCACATATCTTTATCATATTTAGACCCCTCCAATATCTGTACCCCTATAGACCCTCCCACTGAATTTCATGCATTCTGTCATATATGTTAAGACCTCTTGAGTCAAATTTGTGTACCCAGATGTCCCTCAGTGTGAGTTCATCCACTGGAGTCTAGTCAGCCTAACTAGAGTCACTCCCTTAAAGAAGACCAGCTCTCCCTCACCCAGCAGTGATCAGCTGCCAATAGTTCCTCAGCCAAAGTTGGGGCTTCTTACCCATTTCCCTACTTCCGCGCTGGTTTTTTTTTTTCTGGTTTGAGTTTGCATGGGTCTTGTGCATGTTGTCATCATTGTTGCAAGTTTTTATGAGCAAGTTCCAAGAGGCCTGAAAGCCTGTGTTTCCTTATGATCATGCACCAACCCTGGCTCTTACAATCCTTTGCTCCCTGTTCTGCAATGGTCCCTGAGCCCTGGGTGGCAGAGGTTTTATAGAGGAGTCTGATCAAGGAACATGTACTCTACTGTCTCTGATTCTCTACACTTTGGTCAGTTGTGGCTTTCTGTGTTAATTGCTCTCTGTTGCATGAGGAAGCGTCACTGGTGAGAGTTGAGAGATGCATTAGTATCTCTCTATCCCCTGTTCCACTATGTTCCATGAGCCTTAGATGTAGAGGTTCCATTGTAGATGTGTCAGAGCTGGGCATCTCATAGACATTTATTCTTTGTGTGTGACCAGTTGTAGAATTCTGTCATATTCTCTACCTGTTACAAAAGAATCTTCTTTGATAAGTGGTGACTGGTATACTTGTCTGTAAATATAAGGAGACATATTTACATATTTAGCATACAGTAAAAAATTATGTTCGTCTAGGGATGTGACAGATTTAGGGTTTTCTCTAGGATCTATGACCTCTCCAGCCATGTATTTGGCTGTTTACAGTGCCACCCATGAGTTCCCTCCCACTCAACAGGCTTTAAGTCGAGTTGAATAGCTGTTGATTACCCCAATAAAAGTGTCACTACTGCACCTATAGAGATGGTTTGCTGGGTCAGTCATTGTGGTGGTTATTAGACTTTAAAGCTGGGGTTGGACCATTGATTGATTTTCTCCCTTAGCAGCTTTCATAGTAACCTCTGAAACTATGAGAGATAATCATCAAGGAGTAAGCTTTCAGGTCAGTCCTGGCTCCATTGCCCCAAGTCCTGTGCCTGAAATATGTCCTGTCTTCAGCAGTAGGGTCTTACCTTCAATCAATAGGGTCTTACCCAGGAGGCCATCGAGGACTGTGGCAATACCCTGTGTTATTTTTGGAGTCTTTTGGACTATCCTGACTAATAACTCAAAGGGACTTTTCTCCTGTGTTCTGGCCCTGTGTTTGTTGTTATACAGCCTTCAACTATATATATTCACTCATGTACAGATGTTTTATGTGTATTTATCAGTAGGCTTTTGAGCCAACACACTTCTCTGTTTTTTCCACACTACCCAAGTGTATTTATCTCTTCTCTCTTTCTCCCTGTCTAACCCTCCTTCCTCTTACTCCAGTTAAAGTGCCCCCCTTTCCTGTTTTC